GCGCGCGGAAAGGTGGCGGCGCGCGTCGATATTTTCCCACGCGCTGCGATTTGTGTGCGGTTCTGGGTGCTGCGCGTGGAAGGTGGACGCGTTGGCTGTCTCGTCAGAGAATTTGCAATTTCGTTGTATGGGTTGTATGGGTTATTATAGAGGATATATGCAACAGGTATGCTCGTCTGAATGTCTGATGTGGAAAGGTGGTAGCTTTGATACATACATGCTCTGTTAGCTTGTCGCGGAGAGGCTAACTTCTACTAATTCCCCCAGGACCGCAAGTATGGGTTTGCTGCTCATGCGTTTTGCGAGTGTTTCGCCCATTTAGGAGATAACATTAGTGACTGGGTGCCCGAACCACAGTGTGATTTTGAGCATGGCCAGTGATCCGAGTGAAATCAGATGAATTATGGTTTGCCAAGAGGCTGTAGGCAACTTGTTTCAGGCTTAATAGTTACTTGAATGGTTGCTAGGGATTTGTGATGATAGGGGGCCTAGGTGTTATTTTTGTGTTCGTAGTTCATGAGCCTGTCGCGGTACCGGAAAGGGTTAAAATTTTCAGCCAACAAACCGAGGTCGTAGGTACATTTCATTAAATAAACCTGTTTAGGTTTGAAATGCGTAGTTTTCTCTGTCATATAAACCATTTTAATTGTGATTAGGACAAAATGGAAGCATTTTGGTGGCGGTCAATGGAGTGGATGATGAAGACTGTTGTCTCCCATAGAATTTTATAGTACTGCGTCATAAGGAAATTGTTCGTGTGAGTATTATTGTTAGCAAAAAACAGGAGACAGTGAGGTCACCAGCTAACTGTACAGAAAGTTACTAGAAATGTATAAAGATTGTGATTGGTGGATCTACTATGGCATCTTCAACTTCATTACTTGTCAGGAAAAGTTGTTTAGACTGGTTAGGTGTAGACTAGACCATTTGATTGTCATGAAAATTAGTTTGACAATAATAACTTTTTTGTAATATATTGCTTGTATTTCCCTAAAAACAATAATGGTTAAAGTTGCGTATTGGAGATTGCAAAGCAGTTCGTCATCTATCTTTGGAAAGTAGCGAGCATTTTCAGTTATCTTCTTAGATTTCTGTGTGTTTGAGCCTTTTAAGGTTACTGTGAAAAACAGCTCTTCAGAAATTATGTGTAAAATCTTAATTGGTTCTTCCATTTTTGTGCTTCAACCATTGATTTATACCTTTGATCAGTTTGCAGAAAGTGCATATCTAAGGAGTTCATCGATAAGGAGATCTGCTACTGCCCTACATGCAACATTGATTTAGGCTGTGCTCCAGAGGAGAAACTCAGGTTTGTCTCAACCTACATATCACAAGCAGACATTATTGTCAGTTTTTTTAAAAACAACTTAAGCTTATGGTTCATGTCAATCAATTTTCTGTTCAGAGTTGATCACAGCCTACAATATGTGAGGTCAAAGATATTTCCTTCTAAAAGACGGAAGGTTGTGGACCAAGAAGCCATATCACCGGTGGAATCACCTGTCAAGAGAAAAGAACGATCTCTATCTTCACTGACAGTCCATGGTCCTCGGGTGTCTATACAGAAATGCCTCACAAAGAGGAGAACAAAAGCTTCGTGCTTACGCAGCTTGTCTTTGGTATGTAGCTTTTGTTTTAATCTGAAGGCTGTAATTTTGTAGCAGCACTATGTGACTACTTTGGGGCTAAAACATATCGATTGAGTTTATTCTCTTGGGCACATCTTGGTTCTGGGCACTTCTTTATACATTGTATGTCTGGTATGCTAAATGAATAGAGCATGAGCCTCTTTGATCCTTTGTTTGTTTGGTACCTGAAGTGTTTATGTGCATTTGAGGTTTCTTGTTTAATCATATAGGTCGTAATTGAGTAGCATCAACATCGACTGTGCACGGGATCATACAAACATCGATTTAGTTGACTCTTTTCAATCAACCATGGTGAGATTTACTGTGTGTACACATGTACGTATCGGCTGGTGACATTAGGATAGATGCACAACACAGTCTTTGTGTTTGTCTTGAACTCTTATTAGTTTTCTATACACATATGACGCACAGTGCCGTTAAAATTTGTGTTCGAACCTTAATGTCATTTATGAATGCATCAAATGCAATAACTGTTTGTGAGGGAAGTATTGTCCACACCCTTCAGACCCTGCAATGTATGTATTGGTCTATGTTTGGGTTTCACTCTTTTTGAATGTATAAGTCATATCTGGTTAGTTATTCTTTTCGTGCTTTACATGATTTATATGCAGTATTCTACCTTGCAGGGCAGTAAAGATGCAACAAAGAAAGTTGGAGGATGGAAACCTTTGGCCTCTCATATTAGAGTTGGTAAAAGTAAAAAATCTATCAAATCAGGTTCCGAAGAGGACAATAGAACTGGAATCAAGTCTGATGATCCAGAGCATGGTGCTCCTTCCAATGAAGCAAAGGCTAGCCTCTTGAAACGCTTGTTGGAGTCTAAGGAACACCCGACAAAAAAGGAGAATCTAGTGAAGAAGACTGGAAGCAAGAAAGTGTTCACTCTGAAGGGGAAAAAGGAAATATTCAAGGCCAAACAACCTAGGAAAAAGAGAAGATTGCAAGCATTATGGTTCTATCTAGTGGCTGCTTTTGACCAGTAAGAAGCACTAGACTTCTCTTACGACGTTTATTGTACCTTTTGAAGGAAACACAGAAATCATGCTTTTGGTGTTTTCATTTGTTTCAGGAAGGGACAACCTCCTTTACCGCAGCTACCTACAAAATTTTTGAGGATCAAGTGAGTTATCCAGGCTACTGTTTCATGTACAAACACAATATGTTAAGTTTGCGCTAACTTGCGCCTTTATCACATTGATCCAGGGATGTTGAATTGCCTGCTTCCTTCATACAAAAGTACCTTGTGCAGAAACTCAATCTTTCAAGTGAAGCTGAGGTATGTTTTCCCTTCTCCCAGTGTCAGCGATAAGCTAGACCTGAGAGAAAACTCAAATTATTGTTCCCAGCTTGCAGTCCGAATTTGTGTCGGACATCCTTTTGCCTCTTTTGGGCGTAATCACAAATCCCATTTATAGAATGAGAGAAGCATTGTCTCGGTTCATCAAAACCTCCTAGCAAGTGATAGCTTTCAATATTTTCCATATGTATCGACCTATGGTGTGCTTGCAGGTGGAGTTGATGTGCGCTGGCAAGAAAGTTGACCCAGCAATCACCCTGCATGACATAACGGACTGCTATCTGGACAAAGGACCGAACGGTTGGGTGCGGTCGTCCGTGGGCTCCCCTGCCACCGGGTTCATCACGACCGTGTTCTACAGCAGGCCGGAGCTGCCCACACCCCCAACACCACCGCCACCACCTGAAAGTCACCATGGCTGACCCAGAGCGCCGCCTCATGCCCGAACCAGTTCGGCCTCACTCCAGCCGTCTATTTCAGAGCCCTCTGGTTGGTGCCGCATTGATGCCAACCTTGCGAGGCTCAGCTCGGCTCACCTTGCCTTGTGATATGTAGATAGATGTTCGGTTCACATGCCTTGCGGGGATTCTGATTTGATCTGTTGTTCTTTACCATTTTTCTTCACCTGACGGAGTAGCTGTACCTATGCGTGTTTGTAATCCTGTGTTGAGTTGTTGAGTGCTGCTGTAACTGGACTTGAAGCCTTTATGGTGTGCCTCTGTAATGTTTGTAGCACTATTTTTACTGTAAGCTCTTGTACAAGTTGTCGTCGAACCGGAAATTTGGTTATATATGGAGTAGCGTATGGAGTGCTGATATTGATTGATGGATACTGTCTTGCAAGTTACAAGTAATTTCTTTGCCTTTGTAGCTCCAAATGGCCAATTTGTTGGCTGATGTCTTTTTAATGCATAACCTTGCATTTAAACAACTACTACTTCCTCCGTAAAGAAATGTAAGAGCGTTTAGATCACTGCTTTAGTAATCTAAACACTCATATATTTCTTTACAGAGGGAGTAGTTCATAGAGCTAAATTGCTCTCCAATAAAGACATTACAAAGGCACAGGGCCGTTACATCTGGCATATGGGAACTGGACTGTTTATCCTCTTGCTGCCCCATTGCTGAAGCCTGAAAGGTCATGAGCAACATCATTACATGTTCTTGCACAGTACATGACTTTGAAATTCAGAAAGTGAAGTCTAGCAAAAGTCTTCACATCTTGAAAAATCGCGACGAAGTAGAGCTTTCAGCCTCCATACCCTGCTTCAACTCCATATCATCAGCTTCCAGGAGCACCTTGCCCATTCCGGACTCTGGCGATCGGAAGTGCTTCACCCGCAGCCTGGAACTGATATTCCAGGAACTCCGCTGTCCGGTGTTTGATCATCATCCACACTTCTTCTCCAGAATTTTTTGCCTTTCCCACTTCTCTGGATTTTGTTGAGTTCATTCCACCATGTCCACATCAACAACACTATAATGCAAATCCCGTCCTCCTCCTTCATGCTGCAGATTCCTTCCATTCCATCAGATCATCGCCTCTCTAGCATTGATTTACTTTGGAGCTAGGGATCACCCTTTGTTCTCCCAATCCACATTCTCTCTACACTTGCTTCACTAATTTGCACCTGAAAAAACAGATGCCCAAAGTCTTCGAAATCTCTGTTGCATAGGAAACACTTTGGGTTGATATCCATCCCTGATCGATTGAGGTTGATCTTAACGATGCAGCACACTTGTGACAGGGCAAATAAGCTTAGAAACATTTTTTTTACTCAGCAAAAGATACATATTTCCATTTCAGCAAATGACGCATACACAATCAAGATCACTCTAGTTAAGAATCAGATCACCTGAATTACAGTATAGATATTATATATAACCTTATCACTCTACATACATGATAAATCCCCACCCTTCCGGACTGAATTCCGGAACAAGTTCATCACAAAGAGAAAAAGGAATCAAATGCCAGGAGAGCAATCATCCTCCTATACCAATCTGTACACCCAACTTCTTCTGTCCAGGCATGCAGCTCCAGCTCCAGGCAGCTAGAGCTTATCGGCGATCCTGCCAAGAGCATCGGCGAGCCTGCCGAGCACGACGGCCAGGCTGTTGGCCTGCTCTCTCCTCTCCTCCCGGTCGCGCTCCGAGTTCACGTTCTGCGCCTCCAGCTGCGCCGTCATGATCTGGCTGTTCCGCTCTAGGATCTCCAGCAGCTTGTCTGCTATGCCTTCTGCTCTGGGCTCACCGTCGTCGCCGGTTCGCTGTCTCTTCTCCCCGCTCTGCTGCAGTGTCGGTGAGCCTGCTGTCTTGGTGCTGCCTTGATGCCCTCCTTGCCTGCCTTTTGTTGTGCCTTGCTGTGCGCTCTGCTGCCTTGATGCCTCCGAATTCTCGGAAATCGGCAGGGCGATGACCGCCGGCGGTGGTGCGGGAGTCGCCTCTGGCGTCTCAGCATCTTCCTCCTCTTCGTCCTCCGAGAAGAGCACCTCCTCCCCGGCGGGCCGGCCACTGTCAAACACGGTCTCCTTCACTGCCACTGCCACTGCCACCTCCTTCCCCTTCCCTCTCTCCTCTTCCTCCTCCCCTGTCTCCTCCTCCTCATCATCCTCCTCCATGCGCACCACCCCTACTTCCTCCACGGCGGCACCACCGCCGGAGCTGCTGCCGGCGACGACCCCCCGACCTCGACCTTCGAGTATGCCGTACACCTCGCGGTCGAAGAACCCAGGGAGCCGGCGCTCCCGCCTCGCGTCGTTGCGCATGGCCCAGAACGAGGGCTCCCGCGCGCCGGCTGCCGCCCGCTCCCACTCCTTTATCTTCTTCCAGTCCCCAGCGAGGTTGCTCCACCGCTTCCGGCACTGCACGGCCCCCCTCTCCACGCCATGCCGCCGGCAGTACTCCGCGACCGCGGCCCACTTGGGCTCCAGCGCCGCTGCCGCCGTCTCCCCTGTCGCCCCGGCCGCCGCCGCCGCCGCCAGGCGCCCCCTCCCGCCGCGCACGCCGCCGCGGACTTCAACCATGCGCTTGCCCTCGATGAGCACCAGTATCTCCTGCCGCGTCCAGCGGGGCAGCCTCGGGGCGCGCACCGACGGGTTGGGCGCCGCCGCGGCCGCCGCGCCGGCGGGGTCGCCGGCGCTGGACATGAGGGGAACGGAGTGGGGAACGCGTGATTTGGTGGGCGCAAGTTTCTTTTAGGGATTGTGGGCGGAAGTCGATTTGACGGCGTTGAAGCGGGTGGTGTTTTTTCTTCTTTTTGAGCGAATGAAGCGGGTTGTGTAAAAGGGTCACGTGGGCCGGAGCGGCTGCAAAAGGGCCTGACATGGCACGGCCCTTGTCGGCCCTTTTATATAAAAGGGCAGTGCCGGCCCGAAGGCCTAGCCACGGGGGGATTGGTCCGGCACACCAGTTATAAAGCCCGAGCGGAACGCGTGGGTCTTTTGCTTGTCTATTTCTTTTCTAATCCCCTAGGGTTTTCCTAGGGTTCCACCCATCCTCTGGCGATTCTGGCCAGAGTCCACGAAAACTCTCGCTGGTTCATCGGTCTCTCCCGATAGAAGGCGAGATCCACAGTTTCGCAGCAGGGGTACGTCCGTG